CACGGGAAGCGGCCACTTTCCTCCCGCCCCGTCCGCCCGGGATCTATCCTCTGCGCCGGCCCCAGCCCAGCCAGATGTTGGGGCCGAGCAGGAAGCGCCGTCCCCAGGGGCGCTGCTCCACACGGCGGCCGCCTGTGCTCGGCCAGCCCCGCTCCCCCGCAGGCCCCTTTCCAACGGGACCACCGCGGGGGCTCCCGAGAGGAGGCCACATCCACGCCGGGTCCCCTCTGAATCGTGCCATGCTCCCGGACATGTCTCGCGGGCGCGTGTCCCGGGACGTTCGCTGGGGAAGCCTCTTTCTCCAGCTGCTTCCAGCAGTCTGCTTTTGATTTTCTCTTCGGGGGTTTTATTGCAAGAAAAGTCTTGCGGAAGCTGCTGCTTCCCCCGCTCCGAGGGCTGTTTGCTCTCCAAATACCAGAGCCGCTTTGGTTGCGGGGCTGCTGCTCTGCAGTCCGTTACCTCCCTTACTTCACCCTTGCTCCTTCAGCCCCCCGCGGTCCCCACGCAGCCTCCTCCGCCCTGCGGTGTCCCGCGAGGAGGGCGCTTGGAGCCAAGCGAGCACCACCCGGGAAGCTGCCTTGTTTCAGACCATCCCAGGCTCAGTTTCATTCTCTTTTAACTCGGTCACCTTCTCCCCACTCCTCTCACCGCCATGCCCAGGGGAGCCGTGAGGACGGCAGCTTCTCCCTCCACATCCGATCTTGTCTTCCCCGAGAGCCCTGACTGCCCAGGCCGGCCGGGCACCGCTCCTGCAGCCCCAGTGAACCCTCTGCCACAGGCGCTCCTCCTGGTTCCTTACGCGTGTCCAGTTTCACCGTCCAATCAACAGGGAAGGCTACAAGGGATCCCACCTGGACCACTTGCAGCGCTTCAAAGTCGATTTATTATGAAGGGTTAGAAACCAAGTGCTGGGTAAACCACAGCCCAACGTCCCGCGTGGCGGCTGCTCTGTCCTGGCGGGAGTGCGGATATCCGGGGAAGAGGCCGCTGCCTCCCGGCCCGTCGCTCAGCCGGGCTCGTGCCGGGTACCAGCTGCGGGCCTGCACGGGACCAGTAGAGGCAGGATTTGGGCATGGCCCAAATGGGTCACTCCTTCGATGAAAATACTTAAAAATGAACAAACAAAAATCCCAGTCCATCCTTGCCCCCTGGACCAGACAAGTGTCATTTTCAGGCTTTTTATGCCTGAAACTGGGGGGGGAAATATCTTAAACACCACATTTTTTCGTCTCTGGTGGCTTTCCCATGGCTTTTTCTTTTCTGCCACCAAGCGCAGAGGAAACGGGCCCTGCGCCAGCAGCGGCGGCTCCTCCTCGTCTTTGTCTGCAGGAGCTGAAGGGACCAAAAAGTGGCAGAATTGGTAAAAGCTGACGCTGGAGGACCTAACCCCCAGCATTGCTTCCTTTAGTTCTTTTTGTGGAAGTGAGAGGAAAATAAAAATAAAAATGGGGGTGGAAAAAAAGTTGCAATCGAAACTGCTGCAGTTCAAGCTGGCAGCTCCAGTTGTCCCGGGAGGAGCCCGGTGCCCCCGGCACGGCCGCAGCCCCACAGGGCTCTCTCCATGCAGGGCGGTCGTGCTGGGCTGTGGCCGTCCCGGCGGGACCCGGGCCCCCCCGCTCGCCCAGGGCCCCGGGGGGGG